CCACTCTCCCGTCAGTGCCGAGAAACCGGCGTCGTCAACCCAGCCTACGGAACAACAGGAGGAGATTTCGGAGGATATGATGAAGGAGATATTCCACAGCCCAAAGGTCGCTAGGATGCTGTCTCGGCAAGCTGCTGCGGATCTAAAATACAAAGGAAAGACTCCGATGCCTCCACCTGACGACAAACCCTTTGGGAAGGAGGGATTGTCGAAAGAAGAGGCTCAGGCCGTGGAGGACATTGTGTCAACAACAACAGTGAGTGCACGCAGTCGGAGCCAATTGGACGTTTATATCTAATAAAGTGCCCGCAGGTGGAACCTGAGACTGCCGCAGCCATGAAGCAGCAGGCAACATACCAGATGATCGAGTCTCGCGTTCCAGCTTCCCGACTAGGCAGACTATGGCAATACGGTGGCCTAGCCACATCCATGGCCTTTGGCGCCGTCAGTGAAAGCCTACGACGAGCCACTGGAAGCCAGTCCGAAAGCACCGGATCCCTCATGTTCAGCGCCGGAAACATGGAACGTCTTGTCGCCAAACTCTCCAAGATGCGCGGAGCGGCCCTCAAGCTGGGGCAGATGCTGAGCATCCAAGGTACACACCATCTACCCCATTAACCAATCCCCCTCTAACATCACCCCAGACACCAAAATGCTCCCCGACTCCATCCACGAGGTCCTCCAACGAGTCCAAGACCGCGCAGACTACATGCCCGCCTCGCAACGCGACAAGGTGTTAACCGACAACCTCGGTCCCAACTGGCGCGACCTCTTCTCCTCCTTCGACGAAATTCCCATGGCAGCCGCCTCCATCGGCCAAGTGCACGGCGCCGTCCTCGCCTCCACGGGCCAACCCGTCGCCGTCAAAATCCAATACCCAGGCGTCGCCGACTCCATCGACTCCGACCTCAACAACCTCTCCATCCTCCTAACCGCCTCCCGCCTCCTCCCACGCGGCCTCTACCTCGACAAAACCATCGCCAACGCCCGCACCGAACTCGCCTGGGAATGCGACTACCACCGCGAAGCCACCTGCGGCGAGCACTTCCGCTCCCTTTTGGCCGACGACCCCGTCTTCCACATCCCCGCCATCATCCCCGAAGCCTCCGGCAAACAAGTCCTCACAATGGAACGCCTCAACGGTATCGCCGTCACCAAAATCCAAAACTTCACCCAATCCCAACGCGACTGGATCGGCACCCAAATCCTCCGTCTCTGTCTTCGCGAAATCACCGAATTCAAATACATGCAGACGGACCCCAACTGGACGAACTTCCTTTACAACGCCCAGACAAACAAGCTCGAATTACTCGATTTCGGCGCCTCCCGCGAATACCCCGACGAATTCATCACGAAGTATGTACATACGCTGATCGCAGCAGCGAGGAACGATCGTCTGCGCTGCGCGGACTTGTCCCGCGAATTGGGATATCTTACCGGCCATGAGAGTCAGGAGATGGTCGATGCGCACGTTACTTCCGTTATTACTATCGCGGAGCCGTTCATGGAGTCGTCGCCCGATGTGTATGATTTTAGGAATCAGACTATTACGGATCGCGTGAGGGGGTTGATTCCCCTTATGATTCGGGAGAGGTTAACGCCTCCGCCGGAGGAGACGTATAGTTTGCATCGGAAGTTGAGTGGGGCGTTTTTGTTGTGCGCGAGATTGGGATCTAGAGTGCCGTGTAAGGAGATGTTTAGGGAGGCGGTTAGGAAGGCGCGGGTTGCGGGGACGATTGAGAGGGAGTGAGTGTATTATTAAAGGGTTGTGGGGGTGGTGTATTATTCTCTTCTCTGGAACTGTATCATTAGCTTAGATTGTATGTATAGAGATCTACATCAATGGGTTGTATTTATAGTAGTGTATGGGTATTGGTATATGGTACATGAAATGAGTAGCAAAGCTGGTGGTATGGCATGACATGGCGTGAAGAGGTATTTGTGAATATGTGTATGTTATCCAGGATAAGATCCTGAATTTGCCAGTCGCTATATTTATAGAGGGGTATCCAAGGCTGGTCCAAAGTATCTTGGGGTTCGTGTCTCCTTGATGAGACATGGGCGTAGACATGTCGTTCCTATTGCTGTAATATAAGCTGAAGCGTCTTCGTCACTGCGTGCTTCGTTGTGCTGTTGCTTCATTCTGACAGTAACCCGGACACCAACTCAGATACCCACGAATATATTGTCTCGTGGGGATCGTGCACATGGGTAGGTGATGATAGATACACCTTACACATCTCACGGAGCGACCAGCACCAGTAAGGCTGAAATCGGGAAACCGACCGACCCTAACTCAACGAGAATGCCCGATACCGAACATAGCATTCCAATAATTCTTCACCCCCTTGCAGATGCCCTTTTTATCCTTCCAAGTACTGAATTTATCCTCAAGTTCGCACGCCGTCCAGAGAATCTCATCCCAGAAGCGTTTCTCGATATCAGTGCCGAAGGCCTTGATCACCTCGTCGGGAATCGTCCATGCGCGCGTGTAGCTCCCGTCATCCGCGAAAGCCGGGTTCACGGCCTGTTTGTCGAACACAGTGGCCGGGTTGAACTTGGGGAAGTTGGCGTGGATGAAGAATGCTCGGGGGGCAGGCGCCTTTGATCCATGGACCCGCCACTCGCCCTTCTGCGTCAGAGCGTAGTCTTCAATGGGATCGAATTGCACCATCGCGGAGCCGGCCAAACCGCCCTGTGTGCCGTGGCCGATGGCGCAAATTGGCTCCGAGACCTGGTAGTATGGCTCCTGAAGGGTCATGGCGGCTGCGACGAAGGTTTCTTTATCGCCCTCTCCGGCTGCGCCTTGCGAAAGCAGTGGGTAATAGAAATCGGGACCCCACATGTTGTAGTAGGTGCTGAGGAGAAGGGTCTTCATGTGCGACTTCTTCGAGATGAGGACCTCTCCGGATTCGCTGGACTGTCGGACTGAGTTCTCGGGGTACGGCTGAGAGGCAATTTCATAGTAGTAGGACGAGATGGTGGATGCCCAAAAATCGGGCCAAGTGACCATGTTCTTCGAGGGAAAGGGGCCATTGACGAATAGCATTTCCGGTGGGTGAATCGGAAACGCATCGGCGTCTAAGAAGAGGATTTCTTCGAATGACGAGAACAGCATTGCGAGAAGCTTGAACTGGTATTTCTCGACCTTCATATCGCCTGGGACGGCGTCGAGAATTTCCGACAAAAGCACACATCGCGCGTTCAGCGATGGCAGGACCACTTCGCAGATATGATCCTCATATTCTTCTTCATTTGCGAGAAAAACTTCAAGAGGTAACTTTGAGCCCGTTCTGCGAAGCATTCGAAGCGAGATCACCAGCACCGGTAGGTAAGAGCCCCCCGCGGTGGAAACCAAGCCTCGCGTGTTCTGTGTATAGTTTAGTTGGGGCGGGTTGGTATTGATCGCATCGACAAATCCGCTGTGCGCATTTTTCATCGTATCCACGTCGAATGGGAGCATGTCCAGCAGCTCCGGGCGGTCCTCTGGGTTCGATTGTTCGAACCTAATTGATGGCGCCGATCCTAATCTCAGAGGTGGCTCGCATTTCGGCTCATGAGCGGTCAGAAGTGGCTGGAATTGACGCCAGAATTGGATGTGGCCTTCGGTATGTCTGCGATTCGAGGGAGTCGCTTGGTGTGTTTGTATGGATGGGGCTTGCTCGGTCAGAGGATAGCTGCGCCATCGTGAATAGGACCAAGCGAATGTTAATAGGATGAATATTGCAAGTAATAGCGAGCGCACTCGTAAGAACGCTCGAGAGGGAAACATTGTATTTGGAATGTTGCGACAGGAATGTCAACGGCTGTCAATGGTTTCGTGGTCTCGTTAGGATCGCAAAATATAGCACGGAGAGTCTGACGTAGTCGTTATATCGGAGAAGACACCGTTAGCGCAGGGGGAAAGGCATTGGAGGCGTCCGGGGAGGCGTCAGCAAGGCTCGAGAGGAAATGTAACGAGGCTGATAAATGGAGAAGACATGCGTGTCGGAGAAGAAGGAGCTGCAAAGTACCTTTGAAAATAGAATCAAAGGATAGGAAAGAAGAGTGTCGGGGGAATTTGCGAGGGAGGAATAAAGGACGGAGATGAACAAGCGAAGCGAACCCTGGACAGATTGCAGGATGGTCCGTTCGAGACCGAGGGGTTGTTCTTGTTGATTGATGGTTCGAGAGACCCACAGCACGATGTTCGGTGATAAGGCAATCCACTTTCAAAAGGTAGTTTGTCCTGAGTTATAGAGTGATAGTATAGTCGCAGGGGTATGATTCATGTCAAGTCGAAACAAACAATCAGGAGTGATGATATCGGTGTTACTGAGTGGACCATGGTTAGAATGGACTGCGGTGTAATGCTTAAGTTGATATTTATACTTTATTTTTCCCCTCCAGTAATTCGTATTGCGGTGAGAAGAGGCGGGAAAAAAAAAAAAAGAAAGAAAAAGAAAGAAAAGCAAATTAAATGAACAGATGATTAATGTCTAGGGTAAATAATAACAAGCAACTGTCCATAGTAGTAATACTACTACAACTAAATTAGTGGAAATTGGGGGCCATTCTAATAAATTCATTAAGATAAGATGAGGGGGAGTCTTTTTGTCTTTTGAGTCTCATGGAAGTATAATTGCAGTGGGGAATTGGATGAGCGGCAGGGTCCATCCAGACTGTCGCGGATTGATTGCGTCAATTATCCCGGAGATTACCAGCCCCATCCGCCAGCGAGGATCCGTCTGCCTCCGCTAGTATCTGTCATGCATTCGGTCGAACCGCTCAGAGGCGTAATAGTCTACTGTGAAATAAGCTAACACATGCTAATGCTAAAATATATAGTACAGACGTAATCACTACACTTTCCGCTGACATGCCCACTACTATGCTCATGATTTTTAGTAGTTTAAAACGTTCCGTCATTTCTCGGCCCGGTTGCTGCTTCTTCCCCTTCAAGGATCGTGTAGACGATGCCAGGTTCTCATCGGGTTGAGCCTATCCCTCGCGTCGGTCTATCACTCCGGCATATTCTCGTCGGACGCATTGGAATCGCTCGGAGAAGTCCCTCTTTTGACTTTATCAAGTAGACGTCCATGAAAACTATTCCGCCTAGGGCGAGCTGGGTCATACTTCAGTGAACCAAACCATTGATGAACCGCCTCCACAGTAACCGACGACGCATAATGAATTGATATTCCCAGGATAACCCCCATCAATGCGGCTACTGTGAAGTAGCTAAGAATGGCCTAGGTAAACCATAAGTGTTTATTCCTTGGGTTGCGACCAGTACTTGCTAGAAAGGATGGAGGATCTATCCATTCGTACCTCGAATTTGATTAGAAGCCTTAGTGGAGAAAGGAGCACATAGAGGATGGCATGGGCTAGGATCCACATTGGCGAGGCTAGTACACTGAACAGCCCATAGACCCAGGAAGCCAGGTAAGCCAGAGCATAGAGCACGGCACCGGAGCTCGCTGTCAAGGCGGTAACCCAATCCATTCGCGTGGCTAAAAGTGTTCCAGAAGCAGCTGGTTGGTTACATAGAGCATTCCAGGTGCGTCAGCTGAGGCAATTTATGACACGGCCTTGCTGTACAATGGGAAGGGATACAGCAGTAGAGTGAACTATACAGAGTAAATAATGCTTGGATGGATGATGGCGCTGCCTGTCCGGTAAGCGGTCTGCAGTGGCAGAAATGGTATGGTTGAATGACTTGTTTTGGTTCATCGATTGTTATCGTTATAAGTATGTACTCCTAGTATTTATTTTATGGGGTAATCAACATTCCTCTTTCATCCATGGGACTGCCTGAATCTTTCAAATGTGCTAAAATTATTAGCAAACACGGTGAATATATCTCGCATATTCCCTCGAAGATGATGCAGTATACTACAGTTGATATACCAAGTCACCATCGGAGATGACAGCCGACCGGCCGTCGGGGAAAAACCAAGGAGGGAAGCCCTAAACCCTAAGGGGAACTTCTCCATGGGACTAGCCCGTCCGGGGTCGACGACATCGACATCATCAACTCTTACTTGGCTGCCCATCGCATTCTTTCTCTTCGATCCTCGTCCGCTGCTCTGTTTATATACTTCTTTCCACCCCATCCTTGAGCCGGCGCCTTTCCTATTTCCGTCAGCATATTTCCTAGATCACATCTGCATCTGAAGGCCTTTGTCCACCCGATATTTTCCCTTCGCCCCGATTCCCTCTTTATTTTCCGTTACCCCTCCGCCTTCAAACCCCGACACCATCTGATGCTGGCATCCCAACCCTGATCACGGAACTCACAACTCGTCTCTCTTGTCTTCCACACGGCATCGAACCTGCCTGACTCAGTTTTCTTTCCTTCCTACAAGCGCCACCTACCGGCTTCCTGTTCCAGATGGGCAACAATCCTTCCAAACCCCCTGCCGGAGATGCCCAATCGCCGTCGGCTCCCTCGGCCGCGGCGGGGGACAAGAAAGTAGCTCGCCGGTCATCGATTCATACACCATCGGGCACCACCAAGGCCTCCGCAGCCGACCCCTCCGCCACCAGAGAAACTGCTACGGGCCTCCCGACCTCCCAAGTTCAGCCTTCCGTCCAGCAGCGTTTACAATCCCGCAATGTCACAGATTTGCCGACGCGGAACCTAGATCGGCCAGACCGTCAGGTTCCAAAGAAGCCAGATACTCGCTCCAGAGACATTCCTGCGCCTGATCCGTCCAACCCCGTCCAAGTTCCGGGATCCCGGGCGGCTGCAAAACGTGACCCTGTAGCACCCTCTGGCCCTCCTCCCCATGCCTATTACAGCGCCTCTGTTCATCTTCAGCGCCCACCGCGGATGCCCCTGCCCATTGGAGATGCCACGGCCACCCCCGGTTCGCCCATCATTGGTCCGGAGGACTCGTATATGGGATCGGTTGCACCCGACCATCTGCTGGATGAACACCGCGATTCGAAACAATCTGCCGTAGCTGGCGCCACGGTTGATGACGATGAGGCATTGGATGAACTTCAACCCTATACTCCGAGCGGCGTGGGAAGAGCTGTGCCGACCCTGATAGAATGGACTGCTCCTGGTGATAAGGTCTACGTTACGGGAACGTTTGTGAACTGGGAGAAGAAATTCCGTTTACATCGGAGGTATGTCATGTTGTCGCGTCCGCTGTCCCATATGTCCAGTCGCATTGCTCGTTATCTGGGCTGTTTTACGTTATCAGAACTAACTGGAACCCTGCATAAACAGTGAGAACAACCCCGGCGTCTTGTCCACGAGATTGAACCTCCGTCCGGGCACGCACCATTTAAAATTTATTGTCGATGGTGAAATGCGCGCTTCAGATAATCTTCCCACAGCAGTCGATTTCACAAATCATCTCGTCAACTACATTGAAATCAGTGCTGATGACGTCAATCGGTCACGGAGAGAAAGCGATAAGGTCCCTGATGGCGTTCGACCTCCGCAGGTCATTCCTGGACCGGTCGGGAATGATCAAGTGGGGTCCACAGTGGAGGAACAGTCAGACAGAGAAGAGCCCGAGGAAATCCCGTTGGGTGACTTCCGTGGTGTTATCCCACAATTTCTGCTTGATCTAGATCGTGAGGAAGAAACACCCGAGTACCAGCAAGCTGTGAATATCGTTGGGGATGCGCCTACACCGCCGAGCCTTCCGCTGTTCCTTGGCAAATCAATCTTGAACGGCACCACACCCATGAAGGACGATAGCAGTGTTCTTAACTACCCTAACCACACCGTCCTAAACCATCTCGCCACTAGCAGTATAAAAAATGGTGTGCTTGCCACCAGTGTAACGACCAGATACAAACGGAAGGTAAGATGGCACCTCTTTGTCACGAAGCCACGGGAATTAACGGTATGCAGTACGTCACAACGATATTGTACAAGCCGACAGACGATATTACAGGTTAGCCTGTCAATGGGATAAGGTGCCCTGCACGTCTCTCGTGCCTTTTCTCTAGCCAGAAGGGGATTGTATTACTTTGGCTGCCGGAGCGGGGCCGAGCACCCCGCATGTCGACCGTATGCTATCTGCGCATCGAACTGGAGGATAAGGCATCGAAATGGAGGATAAGACACTGAAGGCCCTCGCAGAGGCAGGAGAAATAACAACAGATATCACCTTTGGGTATATCTTTCGACATTGCAGAGTTGCACAGAGCCGGAACCCAAGCTCAAGCCACTTTGTATGATTCACGTCCTTATGGTTGCTCGATGTCCGACTATTTGCGGTGCAGAAAGCGCCACTATTAGACCATTGTTGTTGTTGTTGGTGTTCGGAACGATGCATGGCTAGCGACAAATCTTCGATAGCTAAGCCCCTGTTGTCAACCTTGCTTGCAGCTGAAATGCGCGGCTGTTTTACATAGGCGTTGCTGCTTTCGGTCAGCCAGGAGTGTGTGATGTACGCCCTTGACGCTTGCTTCCACCCGTCGGAGGGACAACTAGTCATAACCGACTTGATATTCTTAATCCCAACCTGTCATCTGTGTCCGTGGCAACTGAGTCAAACTGCGCCAAGCGTTACTCGGTAGAAAGAATGCGATCAAGCGGGCTCCAATCCATACTAGCCCTTGCTCCAGTTCGTCTGGATGCACGGATGCACTCCGGGTGCCGAATCCCGTACTATCGGAAACCTTTGCTCATGACTCTATAGATTATATTCATCTCATTCATCTAAATCATCATCATCCAATGGAACAAGAATAGAAATCAATCCCTCCATTTGACAAAGACATCGTCTGTCCGGAAGCGCTGGGTACAAGTGGAATCCATCAAGGGCGTTGTGCTACCGGACTTATATGCCAGTAATCCGGCCTGCGCGATCATGATGCCGTTATCAATACAGAACCTCTCGTCGGTCGCATGAATGGTACCACCGCGGTCGCGAGCCATGATGCCCATCATTTCCTGCAGGCGCTCATTACAGCCCACTCCACCGACGATCAGGACATCCTTGGAACCGACATGTGCCATGGCGCGCTCTGTGATCTCAACCAACATGGAGTAAACCGTTTCCTGGAGCGAGAAGCATAGATCTGCGCGCGTCGGCTTCGCGTTCTCCAGATCCTCCGATGTAGACGCATTGTTAGCGACATCCTCGTCGTCATTCCAATCCCCATCCAAGCCATACTGCACGGCCAGTCCATCAATGGCCGCCAAGATACCGGACATGGAAATGTCCATTCCCTTGACCGTGTACGGTAGATCGACCAGTTTCCTACCCTTCTTGGCTAATTGTTCGATGTTATATCCGGGGGCGGGGTCGTTGGAAATGCGCAGCGTGCGCGCAAAGCGGTCTAAGCAGTTCCCTACTGCAATATCCAAGGTTTCGCCAAAGATGCGGTACCGTTGGGAGCTGTATGCGATGACTTGGGTGTTTCCTCCGGAGACATAGAGGACGACGGGATTTTGTGCACCGGTAATCAAACGACCCATTTCGATATCTATATATACAGCCGAGGCATGGTTAGCGATGGTTGCAATAGGGAGGTCAAGCTAAGCAAGGGATGACACGGGTCAAAGGGTTTCCCCGCACGGTGCAGATAGGATCGGGGACTGATAGATAAATAGAGCAGTGAAGTACTAGGCATAACACATACGTCCAACACAGTGATTCACGCCCACCAATTCCTTGCCCCATAGTAGACTCAACATGCGGGCCGCAATGGCGGCGCTCTGAAGAGGGGCACCCATGCCGGGGCCCTTAGTGAAGCAAATGCAATCCACATCCTTGGGGGAGATCTGAGCTTCGCGAAGAGCCTTCTTGACCAGCTTCACAACCCAGGCGCGGTGATGACGGGCGGTGTCCTTGGGGAGAAATCCTTCACCGGGAGGGGTGACATAGGTGTGCCGAACATTGGCCAGCACCTGCGGGGGCTTGCCATCGTCGGGATGCACCATGATGCCCACGCCCAATTTGTTGGCGGAGCTCTCCAGACCGATGGAGATCATGATGTGCAGGGGGTATCTGGGGGGTTATCTGGCTCAATGACGGAAAAAGAAGGTCCCAATATCTCAGAAGCGGTGGTTACAGGCTGGTCAAAATTTCGAGACCGCGGACATGAGCCAGTCGCGGAGGGGCAAATTCGGTGCTGGTTCGGAAGGTTATCAGGCGTGTTATCGATTGGCCCGATTTGGTCCGCCGCAGCGTTTATCCGACTGTCATTTTGCTGGAACACCAGTTACTGTACCATACTTTCCATACGCCCGTTTGCCTGCCAACTAATTACTACTAATTAGTTACTTTACTTACTACCGGAGGAGCACCGCCTGATCCCCTCAACTTCCCCCCGTCAATCTCTCACCCTCCCACACCCTCCCCTTTTCTTTCACCACCTGGCTAGCTGTTCCAGCAGCTGCATCTTCTTCTCTTTGTTCGGCTGTCAAACTGCTATCCTTCCCGCTCCTTTCACTCCTGAGCCGTCCTTAACACAGTAGTGGGTGTGGGGTGCCGAATTTCCTTTTTCTTAGGTCGACACTATTCACACAA